CATATGCATGTGGTAGTATACATATATATATTACTAGGCATTGAACCCAGAGCCTTGCACATGCTAGGCAAGTGCTTCTACCGGTGAGCTACATCCTCAGCCCTCATAGTAAGTGTATTTTAAACTGTACAGTGTCACAACCTGCTCTGGGCATTATGCAAATTATTACACCCTGCTAGGATGACATTGTTTACCTATTAATACATTTATGAGTATTCTCAAATAGATACTGAATCTTTTGAGACTCACAACCATTCAGAGACTGGTATCAAGATCATGTATGTTCTGTACAAGAAACAGGTTGAGCCAGGTTAAGTTGCTTGCCCCAAATCCCTTAGCCAGAACAGAACCAATGCCTAAATCCGGCTTCAACACCCCTATTTCATGGTGTTTGCTTATAATCCTGTCATGATTGGCTCCTGTCCCTTGCATCTTATTAAACAACCAATGAAGGTACAGGGAAGGGAGGACAAAAGTTTGTTAAAAACATGATATAAGCTATTGATGTGCTCAGAAATAGTATCCAACAATGTGATTCCTAAATACTCTAATTTTGGTTTTAGAATTTAAGATGTTTCTAATCACCATTAAAAACTTTTTATTTTTTGTACTGGGGATTGGATCCAGGGGCACTAAGCTACATTCTCGTCCCTTTTTTTGTATTTTATTTAGAGAAAAGGTCTCAGTAAGTTGCTTAGGGACTTGCTAAGTCGCTGAGGCTGGCTTTGAACTCTCGATACTCCTTCCTCAGCCCAAGTTGCACTGTACCTGGTACCACTAAAATCTTGAAAAATATTTTCTTTTTTATTTTATTAACATCTTTATTTACTTATTTTTTAATGTGGGGCTGAGGATCAAACCCAGGACCTCATGCATGTGAAGCAAGTGCTTTACCACTGCTTTACCCAGCCCTTGAACAGTGTTTTTTAAAATATTTTTTAGTTGTAGTTGGACACAATACCTTTATTTTATTTATGTTTATGTGGTGTTGAGGATAGAACCCAGGGCCTTACGCACCCTAGGCTAGAGCTCTACTGCTGAGCCACAACTCCAAACCCTGAAACAGTGTTTTTTTGTAGATCGTATGAAGATAAATTTTTATGTTTACATGGCCCATTTAAAAATATAATAGGAAAAAACCCTGTTTAAAGATAAGTTAATTATATATCTAGTCCTATTTTGATAGAGCAGATAGTGTATGAACTTTTTTTTTTTAAAAAAGGGCAAAACCATGGCCATCTTTTAAAAACTATAATGAGTCAGGTGTGGTGGCTCCCACCTGTAATCCTAGCTACTCAGGAGGCTGAGTCAGGAGGATCACATGTTTGAGGCCATCCTGGGCAAATTAGCCAGACCCTGTATCAAAATTTAAAATACAAAGGAACTGGGGGTGTAGTTCAGTGGTACTGCATTCCTGGGTTCAATCTCCAGTACTGTAATAATAATAATAATAATAAATTTGAATTAAAAGCTATACTGAGTAAAAAAGTGGAACAATGACAATTTTAATGCTACTGGCAGCAGGTCTGCTGCTTTGGGAGGTGTAGCCCCAGTCTAAGTGGTGCCACAGGTCTTCTGCCTTATGCAAATCTGCTGTCCCATACCTCAAAGATCTGATCTGGCATAGCTTTAGAACAAGGGCAAGTAAAGAAAAATGAGCACCAAAGAGAAAAAGGGTCCAATTAAAGAGGCTTACTTCATCTGAAATTCAAACTAGGTAACAACACACTGTTCACTTAGGTTCAGTTATTATTTTTATTGATAAGCATACAACTAGCACACCTGTTTCAGTGGGGTCTCTGGCTAGTAATTTTGTCAAATGAAGTGCCTTAATAATATGTTCAAACTAATTTTAAACCTCAATAGCTTTGATCAAAATACCATCATTTGACCACGTGAAGAGGGAGAATATACAGTATATAAAAAAGTTTCGGGGCTTGGGATGTAGCTCAGTAGTAAAGCCTTTGCCTAGCAAGCATGAAGCCCCAAGTTAGACTCTCAGCACTGAGAAAAAAATGAAAGTTTCAAATATTAGAAATTTTATAGAGTTAGGGCTCTGGTCTCCTTAAAGAATCACTGAGACACTGAAACAACAGTTCTGACTATGTACAGGAAAACATCATTAGACTAGTGCTTCTCCAAAGATGGCCCAGGATCTGATGGAAGTACCAGCATCAAAGCAGCCTGTTAAGAAGCAAATTCTCGAGGCTCAACCCTTAGCTACATAATGAGAATCAATGAGGATGGGGTCCAAAAGTCTGTTGAACAAAGTCTCCAGATGATTCTTTTGTGCACTAAAGTTTGCAAAGCACTGATTTAGACCATCATTTGTCAAATTGCAGATTACAATCCATTAGTGGGTTGAGCAATCAATTCAGGCAGTGACTAGCATTTTACAAAAGTGAAACAAAACAGAATAGAAAAGGTAGTGAATCCCAAGTAGCAGGAGTAGTGTAACATTTGTTTCATTTCTACATATATGTGTATATTCATAGGTACTTTAAATTTTTGAAGAACTGATAGGGTATGATAAAGAAGCTACCAATTCTAAGTGAAGTTAGAACTGCTGGGTTGACTATAAAACATACTGTCATTTTTATGTGGATTAGTACTTGGAGAGAGAGATAAGATGGTTGAAAAGCAAAGAAAGAGGGCCAAGGAAAGAACAGAGAAGGCCAAAGTTTTATACTCCAGAATCTTTATGGGAAAAATAAAAAGTTCCATCCAGAGAGGAGATAGGAGGTGAGCCCACCACATGGGAGATGTTAAGGAGAATAAGAACATGGTGAAATTCATGAGTGACCTTTCAAATAATTTTAGTAGGACTGGTGAAGATGGATACAGTCAGTCACTCATGCATTCATTTACTGAACATTTACTGTACTGTCATAGGTGCCGGGTACTGTGTTGCGTTGTGTGTGTGTGTGTTGGGGCGGGGCTACAGACATCAATTTATCTAGCCACTGCTTAGCAACAAGACGTTTAACAATAACATGATTAATGATGTGAAGGAGTTATATAGCAATGAGTTGGAATATTGACGTATGTTTGTAAGGAGGGGATTGGGGTGAAGGGAAACATCTTTATGAAAAAGTAAAAATGATGAACACATCTTAACATAAAAAGCTTTGAGTAGCTTTGTTTATATGTGTGTGTGTGTGTGTGTATATATATATATATATATATATATATATATATATATATAAATATAAAAACCCACACATATTTTTTTTTTTTAAAGATGAAGTCTCCATATGCTGCCCAAGATGGGCTCTAACTTCTGGCCATAAGTGGTATTCCCCTGCCTCAACCTCCCCAGTAGATGTTTAAAAATTTAATTTTTATACCCTTTGAAAAAGTGATGAAAATCACTACATAAATGACTTATTGCAAATATGAAAAGGAAAAAAAGAGAAGGATATTTATTTTTATACTTTGCACAAAAATACCATTTGCTATTATTTTCACATACAGAACACCTCAAGCATTTTCAAAATGGGAGGGTAAGGAAAGGGCTGTCCTCTGGCTATTTAGACTACTCTGCATCAAGATACTATGTCATCACTAGGAATGCACTGAGAATGTTATTGAATTCCATTTGAGAGTAACTGTAGGATTTTAAAGCTGCAGGTGACCAGGGGATTTAAAACAAACATTCCAGGTAAGGATGCTAAAGTCCAAAAAGGTAAAATTACTTGCTCTCTATACATATCTTTGTTTCATGCTGGGCCTAGGTACCAGTTCTCAAATTCGGTGCAGCTTCTTTTGTATCTCAATTTTCACCCTACCACAGAAGGTCAGGCTGGATTATCCATATTTCTTCCAATTTTGCGTTCCTCCGGGTTGTAGTCCCTCACCGGATAAGTCAAATTCAGACCAGACTGGCTTTAGCCTTCTCAGTTCTTTCTTCTGTTTTCAATCTTCTCTTTTATCAGCAGCATTGTTGAGCTTCTGACTTTTAAATTTTTTTAAAAAATCAGAGTAACACCAACGAAGTCGGTAACACCCCTCAAACCGAATGGACTCGGACACAGGACACGGCCATTCAACCAGCTAAAGGTGAAGGGGACACTATTCTCCAACGACCACGGACCACGTGCGGGAGGAGGGGCCGCCTTTTGATTGGCGCCCGGAGGGGATCCTTTCCTCCAATAGGGATGAGGCCCTCTGTAGAGGAGGGGGCGCGCCCTGGCCTGGAGGGCGGTGCCAACGACCCGTCCATCACGGAGTCCGCGGGTGGCAGCACCTACCACACCGCTGTACCTTGGCTAGGCGGAGCTGGGACGGGCAGGCCTTGGCACAGGAGGCGGGGCCAGGAAGGCGCGCCCAATCCACTGGACGGTACGAGGGGCGGGGGCGGGGCCACCGCGCGCGACCCAAACACTCGAGCTTGGCCGCAGCCCGAGGCCCCGCTGCTCCTCCGCCTTCCGGTGTGAGGCCCGGGAACCTCCTCCCCTCCCGGGCGCCCCCACCGCCGCGGCCCAGACGCCGCGCGGCCCCTCCTTCTCTGGGGGGGAACGAGGCGACGGTTGCCGGGAAGCGCGCGCCGCCCCTTCTCCCTCCTCCTTTCACGCGCCACCCGTTTTTCCTCTTTCTCGGTTAATAACAGCTGGGTAGCTGGGGGAGGAGGGAAGGTGGCCCCGGCGGAGTCTGGGCGGGCGCCTCCCACTCACCCGCGAGCCGCCGTGGGAGCTGGAGGATGGCGGCTGTAGCGGCGACCGCCCGGGAGGAGGCGGTGCCGAGGCCGGGGGCGCAGAGCGCGGTGGCAGAGAGCGGCAGCGGCCCGTCGTGGCGCACCAGAACCGAAACCAGCGGCCGCCGCACCGTCACCTGAGCCACCTCCTGCGCCGGATCCAGCGAGCGGCGCCCGCCGCGGCCGAACCAGGCCCTCCTCCCTGTCACCTCACCTCCTGCGCCCAGTCAGGTCGCCGGCCTCGCCCGCCGCCCCGAGGAGAAAAGCGCGCCGCGTGCCGACCGCCCCTCGGGGCGCCGGGCGGTGGCCCTGGACGTGCGGGGGTCCCAGTGGGCCGGCCGCGGCGTTTCGGCCCTGCCCTCTCGCTCCTCCGCTCGCTCCCTCCCTCCCGGCGCTCGGGGCCTTACGCGCGGGCCCGGCCCGGGGCAGGGCGGACATGGGCGCCAAGCAGAGCGGCCCGGCCGCCGCTAACGGCCGTACCCGTGCGTACTCAGGCTCGGATCTACCTTCCAGCAGCAGCGGAGGGGCCAGTGAGACCGCGGGCAGCGGCGGCGGGGCTCGGGAGGCGGCCGCGGGCAGGTTTCCGGCTCAGGTGCCTAGTGCACATCAGCCCAGCGCTTCGGGCGGCGCAGCGGCGGCCTCGGCAGCCCCGCGCAGCCGCTCCCTCGGCGGGGCCGTGGGGAGCGTGGCGTCGGGGGCCCGAGCCGCGCAGTCCTCCTTCAGCATCCCCAACAGCAGCAGCGGTCCGTACGGCTCGCAGGACTCGGTGCACAGCAGCCCCGAGGACGGCGGCGGCGGCGGCAGGGACCGGCCGGCGGGCGGGGGCCCCGGCGGGCCGCGCCTGGTGATCGGCTCCCTCCCAGCTCACCTCTCGCCGCACATGTTTGGAGGTACGGCCCCTTCCCCGCGCTCGGCGCCCGGCCCTCCCGTCTGCCTTGCGCAGCTGCACGTGGGTCACGGCCGCCGGTTATTTTTACCCTTCTCCTTTTCTCCTTCAGCTTTGGCACTCGGGGCTCGACCCCAACCCGTCCTGCCCCCCGAGTTGCACTTAACCCCTGCGGTGCCGGGGCGGCTCAGACGCCTGGTTTCTATTTTTAAACCTCGTGAGGACTCTTTCCTGGGTGGTAGCGGCTCCTCTGTAGGGAAAGTTCCCTCCCCACCCACCCCCAGTGAGGAGAATGGAGCTAGTATTGTTTTAAAACAAGCTGACGAAACAGCCCTCGTGGTTTTGGCTTTTAATACCAGGAAGTCAGGCGGAGACCCGCTGCTAAATGTAGTTGTGTCTGGGGACCGAGTGGGGAGCAGCCAAAAGTCGAGGGCCTCAAATGGACTTTTGAGTATTTGAAAAAGAAGGAAGTTATCATTTCCATTGGACCGACTTTTAAATAAAATCGGGGATCCCTAAGTCTCTAAATGGGCTCACCTAGCACATATATGTTAATTGGATGCATGTGTTGATTGAAAGTGTTTTTTTTTTTTTAACCTCAGTGAATTGCTACTTTGCATAATGGTTAATGTCAGCCCTGCCTAATTTAGAAATTTAAATAATCCTAAGCAGTTTCTTTAGGAGAGCGTTTAAAAATTATCACAACTTTGCCTACAAGGGGGCAGTAATTGGCTAGGTTCTTTTGAAGAGCAGTATTGACTATGGTTAAGGAAAAGTCACTTGTGGGGAAAAAAAAAAATTAGTAGGAAACTGCTTACCAAAGAAAGGGTGCGCTTCATTTGAGGAAAATGAATTCTGCCTCTTTGTTTTATGCTGAATCAAGACCACCTTTCCTCCCTCCTTTATGAAAAGAAAGAAACACATAGAAGATAAGTATTCCCATATAATTGCATAATTTTCCTGATGCAGCTGAGCACAGAACAGGGAAAACACTTATCCCCTCCATTTTTATAGCTTCTTTACTCATGTGTTTATAAATGTAATTACTTTGAGTAGAAAGTTGGTAAAATAGAATATTCAGTAAGAACATATATCTGTTCTGGTTTTCTATCAGCATTCACACTAGAATAAGTTAAAGATGTCGTGTTTAGTTTTCCCACCTTTTTAATACCGCTTTCTACTTTAATAAGGAGTGGCTAACTTTTTAATTACCTATTTATGATAATATTTGCTGTGTAAATGAAAATATCAGTTGTTTTCCTACAGTTGGGCCATCTTTAAAATCTTGTTTTTGATAAAAAGAATTGGTGGTGTCCTTACTGTGCCTTGATTACAACACAGCTGAAGGTGCTGTAAAGCAGTTTCCAGAGAATTGAAGATAAGGACTGTTACTGGTTTTAAATTTTTTTTTCTTTTTAAAATAAAAATTTGCATTTAGCAGTGTTAATTATCAAAAGATATGAGTATGTAAAAGGAAATAGGGAAGGTTTTGTCAAATTAATTATTTACTTAATATATTGATTACTGCATTTTAAAGGGCTTATACTTCACTTTGACAAAAAGTATGTTTGCATGGGTTTATTTTGTTTAATACTTCCCTTTAGACCAGAGCAAACAGTTGACACCCATGCTTTTAATTCATAATAAATTAGCAAGTGAAAAAGATCTAGTTGCTGGAAGTTGGAGGTGAAGCATTTTTTTTTTAAGTCTAAATTTTAGGTTTATGTGCTTATAGATCTAGTGCATTTGGGTTTGGAAGACAGGATAGTGTGAGGAACTTTGGGCAGTCTTTCCCAACTAGATCTCTGTAGAGAATTGAACACTCCTGTCTCCAATGTGTGCAATGAATATAACGTTTTCTCTCCGAGTGTATTCAGAATGATTCTGGTTATGTATCATTCTTGGGACTTTTGAGGAAACCATCAATTTTCTGTGTTTTACTGATTCACATGAGAAACCTCAGTTGAGAAAGGCTGGAAGAGTATCAGAAGATACCTGTTCTTAAATGAAAAGATCAGAACATAGGGCTGTGACTTTAAATTCTTGAGACAGATGGAATAGATTTATGTGAAAACCCATTTTTTAGTGACATTGTCTTAGATTTTTTTCTGTATGTCAGTGCATGGAATGAGGAAAACAATAGATGCATGTTTCTTATTTTGAGACTTAGGGAGCTGAATGATGAACCTTATAATTTAAAAAATTCGACTTGATTACACTTTACATTGGCTTAATTTTTATATGTATTATGATATTAGCATGTCCTTTAACTTTGGGTATATGTAATGAACTCCATCTGAAAATTGAGAAAAAGAATATTTCTAAATTAATGAAAAGTTCTTAACTGTTTTTTAAAACTTATTTTAGTTGTATTATTCTCATAAGAAAAATATGAGGCTAATAATCTTTCTCTTATGGGCTATTAAGTAATTTATAGAAAATGAAAAACTGTCACGTTTCTTTCTTTTCTTTTTTTTTTTTTTAATCTTAGGAGTCTAGTAGCAAATCCATTTGTTAGTAGTTCTATCATAATTGCCAAATTGAACAAGGAGGTTTTCTGTTATGGTTTTATGTTTTACTCTTTTTTAGACATATATTTTGGCTATATACTCTTATTTAATTATCTCTCTAGAGAACTGAAAAAGAGGTGCTTGATCCAGATATTTCAGTTTGTAGAAATTTCCTAGAAGTGAGTTCTTGGACATTAAACTATGATTAGAATCTGTATAGGAGTTTTTAAAAAATGGAATAGTTTTTTTCTTTTTGTTCGGACTGATGAGATTAATACTATTAAGATGAAGAGAAGCCATCTTGATTACTACTAATATTGCCCATCCCTTTTGTTTTAAAACTGGCTTTTAAGGGCATAGTCTAATATTTAAAAATCTTAGTATGGTATCTCAGGATTTGTTCAACTTTATTTTATGTCTACTTTTTTCCCCACTAAGTCATGAATGTTTATAAAAACAATTATCATGGGTGGTAAAGTAGCCTTCATTAATGTAGTGAGGTTGGGAAGTTGAATGAGACTATAAAAATATAGCAGTCAGTGGAGGTTATTTCCAGAGAAATTGTATGGAATTGTGTCATGTATCTGAGACTGGAAGTGAGAATGTAAAGTGAATTAATTGAAGACAATCAATCAGGAGTACAGTGTTGCTTTTGACTGTCTAATTGTCTTGAGTTTGTGGTTTGCAATATTCTGTTTGGAATTCAGGTGCCTCCTGTTATTTATGAAGCCTGTTTCCTCATGTCAAAGTAGTATGGTTTTTCTCTTAAAAGCCATACTCTTAAAACTACATATCTTAAGATCTGTATTTTTGAGAAGGTTTACTTCACCTGATTTTTAACATGGATATGAGGTTTTATGGTGTAGATTATCTCAAATTACTGAATTGTTCTCAGTCATCACTTCTTAGCAATATCAAGTGCCAAAATATTTGGATTTGGGATAGATGACATAGTTAATATGGTTTCTATTTCTGAAATTTATTTTAGTCAATAGAAGCCATTTATAGGGAGTGGCAGAAGAGGAATGAATTGCCTCTTCCTAAGAAAAATGACACTTCTAACTGCTACCCGTGCCAGTCTTGAAAAGGAACTTTTGTGGTTAATGTTTCTCACTTATAATCTCAAGTATTTTTAAATATGTTTCATGATAAAGTGTGATCTCTGTCATAGAAGTTTCTGCTTTGGGAATTTTTTGGAAGTACCTCGACCACAAGGTAGAAGGTGAGCTGGAGGGAGGAATGTTAATAGTTGCATGGACCCTATCTGATCTTAGAACTGCATGCTGTAAATACTAGGTACTTAGATGCTTATTGGCTGCTGTAGTTCTGGTCTCCAGCAAGTCCCCTGCTCTTCTCCAATTAATTGTTTTGCTTGGTAGCCAGTAAGTAGGTTTTTATTTCAATGTCCACTTTCATATTACTTATTCATCTTGAAAGGTAAATTACCTTAATGTTCTTCCATACACTGGATATACTTAAAATTGGGTTTATTAAAGGGTTAAAAGAGAAGTGTAGGAACTACATTATGTAGTTTCTAAGATTTATCTTCTTACATAAATATTCCTAAGCACATAGTTTAATTAAAATATTAGTCTTTTAATTTTGCATTATGTGTTCCATCATTATATGTTTAGAAATTGGAAAAAACATAGCCCTTTATTTGAACAAAGGGTTCAGAAATGTCTTATATTCCAATTGTATTTGTGTTCTATGATGTTTATTAACAGCTTCCTACAGATTTAGCTGCTTAAAGCAACACACATTTATTTCTCTTTCTATGGGTCAAGGATCTAGGCATAGCATAGCTGAGTCCTCTGCAAGACTCCGTTTGAAATGTTGGCTAGGATTGCATTATCTAGAGATTCAGATGGGGAAGAATCCGTCTTCAGATGGCCTCCAATTGTTTGGCAGAATTGTCTTGTGGTTTGGGTTCTTGGAAGCTTGCTTCTTCAAAGCCAGCAAGTAGAGAGAGTAGGAAGATGGACTAGTACTATATCTATGTCATCAGTACACCAGGCCTTTATTGCAGGTTTCATTGGTTAAAAGCAAACTATGAGTCTGGTTCACACACAAGGGGTGGGGGTTTTGCAAAGGTTTAAACACCAGAAAGTAGGAATCCAAAGTAGTTTCTTTAAAGTGTGTGCCACACTGATTAATAGACTTGTAGTACAGTAAACATGTAACTGCCTTAATTTTTTAAAAAGCTCATTTTTTTAAAACTTTTAAAAAAGTTGCAATAATGCATGTAGTAAGTACAATATTAGTAAACATGAATGAGCCTCTTTCAGGAGCTGGGAATTTTAGGTTTCATGGGTATAAACATGAAAGGCTTCTTCCTGCTCTTGCTCAATGTTCCCTTGGGTTTTAGAGGACCTTTTTGATTATACAATGTTATAAGTTCTGTAATAGGACTTTTAACAAAACATTTAGTGAAGGATCTCTATCCAGGGTAGTCAAAGAATGCTTTACAGAGAAAGGTAACATTTCAACTGTT